CCCCCCCGCCGCTAGCGGGGCGCGGAGAGGCCACCGCCGCTGACGGGGCGCGGGGACGCCACCGCCGCTGACGGGGCGCGGGGACGCCACCGCCGCTGACGGGGCGCGGAGAGGCCACCGCCGCTAACGGGGCGCGGAGACGCCACCGCCGCTAACGGGGCTAGCCGTCACTCATTTCTATTTTGTCTATTAGATAAAATGTCATATAAAGCTGCATAATTTTAATAAATAAAAAATTGATATTCTAATCATTACAGGACAAACACCGTAAGGATATCAGGACTGGCTTTTCATGAAAAGAGCACCGGTGACGTGAGTCACCCTGGAACACTGACAGAATGAGGGGACACTTACTGGTAGGTCCTGAGCATCTGCAGAAGCAGACGTGCTGGGAGATTAGCAGATTCGGGGCATAGGCACTGGGTTACCTGGCTCCTGGTCCTGGGTGTGCGAGGATGAGAAGTGAGGAAGGCTGCCTTTCAGCTGAGCAGAGTCCATGTCCTGTTGGCTCTCCCAGCGATCCTAGGAGAGGGAACCAGTGAACATATGAAAGACTGATGCCAAAGCAAAGGGTTGGAACAGTGGCAGAACCCAGGTAAACAAGCACTTAGCTCTCATGAAATGGGCTGCTCACCTTGTTCTCCAGTAGCGAGTTCACACTAAGGTCCTGTCGACTTCCAGATGGCTGTAAGAAGATTGGAGGATTATTGATGCCACACTCACATTATCAGCGAAACCCTGCCAGGTGCTTCAGGCTGTGCCGCCTTGTATTGCCTACCCCAAAGGTTGAGGTCTCCACCCATTTAAGGGGGTCCAGGAGGTCGTATTGACTGGTTTTGATTATTTGGGGGGGGGGGGGGGTTATAAACCATTGCCTACCCACTCTGATGTGCCCACTGATCCTCTTTTGAGAAAAAAAATCAAGTGATAAGGGGGCATATTAGAGTTTATGGCCCATCATAATGGCGGGGGGGGGGGGGGGGGGGGGATTATGACAAACAGCTGTACCCGTGGGACGTTGGTGGAGCTGAGGTTGCGTCTCGGACATTTCCCCTTGTTTTCCACCTGCTCCTTCACTGCCACCTCCTATACACACACACACACACACACACACACACGGGAGTTAAATACAAGCCCTCATCTTCAAAGGGCTCAGAGTTTGTGTCCCAACCCTAATCAATTAAAGGACCAGTTTCGCTAAATCGCCTGGTGCCCACGAAGCTCAAAGGACAGGGCTATTCAGATCACAGTCCTCAAGGGCGGAGCACTGCTGATTTCCCAGCCTTCCTTTACCTGTGAGCCAGGTGTGACGCTCTGTGGCCAATCAGAATCAGTAACTATTAAACTAACTACCTGGGATTATTGAAAACACGGCCTGGATTTGGAATCGAGATCAAGATTTGAAGAGCCCTGTCATAGGGCAAGATACCTGCCCACAGGCAACTTCGCAGATGATTCCATCAAACAGCTCAACATCATGCTATTCACCATTTAGAACAGCTGTGGTAAGGCGACTTTACACTCAGTGGTGAACAGTGAACAGCCAGCAAAAGCCAGTCTCCATCACAGGACGCGGCGAGCCCGACCTGCCGCATGCGGTCCAGCGTCAGGATGTTCTCCACGGCCAGCACGCTGCGGAGGTACTTCTCGATGGCTGCCTCGCTGTCCGCCGACTCGGTGGTGTCCGTGTTGGCAGCCAGCTTGGCCAGCATCTCCTGGTCCTCTGTGCATAGTGCATCCTGTAGGGCGCAGTATTGTTCAGGATGGAGTATTGTTCAGGATGGAGTATTGTTCAGGATGGAGTATTGTTCAGGGGGGTCACCCTGCACATGAAGGGAGCGTCTTACCCCGGGGATGTTGGAGACGACGTCAAAGGTGACCCCGCAGCCAGGGATGGTGCTGCGCTGGGACATTCGCTTCAGGAGGCTCTGGGCAAACCCCTGGGGGGGGGTCAATGGCAGAAATAATCAATGATCATGCTGTGTGCTTATGTGAACATTCAGGTCTCAAGCAACACACACACACACACACACACACACACACACAATTAAGTAATTTAACAAGTGACTATGCTTTAAACTAGTAGCGTTTAAAACAATGAAAGCATTAGTTTTGGATCCCTCATCAATGGAGTAAATCCCCCTGCGGGGAGTAAAACACACCTGCCGGCCAGCGAGGTTCACGCAGATGCGCTTGCGCAGGACCAGCTGCAGCGGCAGGGGGTGGCTGAAGCTCACCACGGCGCGCACGATCAGGTACACACGCTGCTCCGGCACCGAGCCGCGGCTCAGCTGGGGGGCGCTGTGCACGGTGGAGTCCCAGGACGCCTCCGCCTTCACCTGGAGGGAGGGGGAGGAGAAGCCGGGACTTACAGCCTGTTGGTGGGGGGGGGGGGGAGGAATCAGACAGACAGAGACAGGCCCCCCATCAGATCTACTCTGCAGACCTGGCCGTCATGGTGCTTGACGATCTGAAGCTCAAAAAATTCATCCTCGTCCTCCTGGCTCAGCGTGGCATCCCAGCCTGCTTCTAATGTGTCCTGGGAGTTCATGTCTTCCGCTGGGAGGAGAGAGAGGAGGAGAGAGGGGGGAGGAGAGGGGGGAGGAGAGAGGGCTTGCTTCTGAGACGTACACAAAACCCCACCCCAAGCTGCCGCTCCCCGTCAGCTTGGCGATACGTACTGCTGAGGCCCAGGAAGAGCACTGGGATGTGGGTCTCCATGCCGGGGACAGGAACCCTGGAGGAAGATACAAAGGGGGTCATCAAACCACCGGCCAGGGGCCTCAAATCCACAGACACAGCCTATCCAGGACATTAGGAACAAGGCATTAAGTCCGTCTTTCTCAATCCAGTTGCTGGGGACTCCCAGACAGTCCACATTTCGCTCCTATTGAGCTGGGAGGGAGCAGAAATGTAGACTGTCTGAGGGTCCCTGAGGACTGTGCTGAGATACACTGCATTAAGACATGTAGACACAGGGCTGTGGGTGGTGGGGGGGGCGACACGTTCAAGTGTGTGGGGTTTAAAACTGGAAACGCAGACTCACCACTCCGCAGGGGCGCCGGGGATACCGCTGCCCGCCGAGGGCACCAAGACAGCGTTACGCTCCTCAGTCAGCGTCAGACGCCTCTCCAGCAGCTGGGCCTCCCGCTCCATGTCCTCCTCGGTCTTATCTACAGAGAGACGGCCAGAGGTCACCTGACGAGCAGATCACTGCCTCGGCCCGCAGACATCACGCAGAAGCGTCCGTACCGGGCTTGCTGACCAGCTTCTGCAGGTGCTGGTCCAGGTACTCCTGTGACTTGGTGAGGGAAGCCAGCCACTGCTGACGAAGACGCTCCAGGTCTTGTTCCTACAGACACAGGAATGACCAGCGACAGCCCTTTCAGGGGACGACTCCGGGCCACACGCCTCTAGAGAGATGTTCCTCATACAGAAATGCACTACAAATTTATTTAGTCTTCTGTGTATCCAAAAAAGTCAAAGAAATAAATAATAAATAAAAAAATGTGAAGGTACCTGGTAACTGTCCATGTCGTCTTCTTCCACCTTGAAATAGAGAGAGAGCATGTTGAGTTTATACATTCACTGATGAATAAAGATTTACAATCTTCACAGAACTACAAGGCGTGAATAGGAACCGAGGTTCATGTTACCAATACTGGAGAAGCGCTCTGCCAAAATTATTGGTTTTAAAATGGTTTCTTAGCCCTTGGATTTTATTTCCCATAACCATGGGTGACCCACCTGCCGCGATTCGCTGGGCCGGGGTGGCCGGACCTGCCGGATCTCCACACAACCCACAGAGACCGACTGTATGGACTCTGCGATGAGGGGCATGGTACCCAAGTCCTGCACCGAGTGAAGCTCCACCTGGATACGCCGAGACTGACCCTGGGGGGGGGGGGCAGCAGGAATGTGGACCAGCTCCTCACTCAAACGTCACATTACCCATCCTCAGGAGCATTGGGCAAGAAGCCAGCACCCCCACCTGTCTGAGCTGGAAGATGCCCCCGGTGCGGACGTCCCGCGCGGGCAGCACCTCCACGGGGACGTACTTGCCCGCGTCGTTCAGCTCTAGCACCTGGACCCACAGCTCCAGCCGGCGGGTCACTTCACTCCACCTGGAGAGGACATCAGCAAGACCGGATCACATCTCGATGGACCCTTCTCTCCAAACCCCCCTATGCAGGTAGCTCAAGACCATAAACACCCAGAATTGTCATAAGAATACTCAACAGGCAACAATTTATATTGTACTACTAATACTCTGTCAATGCTGCATAACCAGCTACTTCTGCAGTAACTTGCTTCATTGCGAACATATTTCAAGATTTAAATTATTCTTCTACATCTGTTATGAGTCTCATTAGGGGCGTTAATATTTAAGTAATGATGTCACTGTGTTGGCAGACATGACAAATCAAACAATGAGCCCTTGACTTCCACTCCAGCCCACACCGGGGCAGTGTGACGCACCTGTCCCTCAGGCTACGGGTTTTGGCCTGTATGATGCCCAGATCCCACAGCGCCTGGTTCCTGTGGGGGTCCGAGGGCTTGTGTCCGTACACCTCGATGGCCATCGCGCCCTCCGAAAGGTAGTCCAGGAAGTCCTCAGACACCGGCACGGCCAGTTCCTGTGTCAGAACCAGCATGGAGGGGCAGCCCCGTTCATCTCACCATAGTGACAGACCCACGGCACTCCGGGAACTTCGCCCACACACTAACACACAGAAACTTGTTTGAAAAGTTTTACTGACTTCAGTTCCTTGTCTGAGGACCCATTGAAATAAATCAGTATTAGGCTATTTACTGTTACTTAAACAGCATCTTTCCTGCTTATTGAAGATACAGTAAAATCCCATATAACACAACTCATCAAGTGAGACCAGGCTGCTCTAGGCGTGGCTCCTTTCAGCATCATGCACAGCACTTTACTGTCGGTAACATGGAAAGATTTCCCCATGTTAGGTCTGATAGATGTTTGGGGTATAGTTAGGGGGAGGGGAGGGTTAACACTGTCCTGTCGCACTCCTGCGCCCCCACATCCCAGCACTGAATAGTGTCTTTCATATGCTATCATCAATCACCATTCTGCTTTACATAAGGAAGTGTTAGATATTTTCACTGCTAACCACTGCTACAGCCACACACACTCATTTACACCCCAACGCACTCCACCGTCCTCTGGTATTTCTACCCCCCCTTCCCTTTTCCCCTGTTTCATGCATCCCCGTGTCTAAAATCTTGTAAATGACAGATTGCCACACCCTCTTGTCAAGCGCCTTGGGGCAACTCCGCTGTGAAAGGCGCCATATAAAAATAAACCAAACAAATAAAGTGAACTAACTGCATGTCTTTCACCTTTGCACGTATACATTGAAGAATACTGGCTGTCAACTGGCTTTGCGTGTGATGCACACCTTGCTGCTGTCAAACACAACCATGCTCTGGGGCTCCTTGCTGCTGCAGGAGATGGTGGGATCCACCTCAGGAACCACGCAAACAGGCTCAGACAGGCCCCAGAAGGAGTACAGGCAGAAGACGAAGTTGGACAGGAACCGAGGCAACCCTGTGGCTTGCAGGATCTTTATCTGCCATCATAAAGGGGGGGGGAGAGATGGAGGTGGGGGTCCATTAGCATACATTATAATTATTTTACAGAAACTTTTATCCAAAGGAAACTTTTTTTGGTGAAAGCAATCGGGGGTTAAGGGTTTTGCACAAGAGCCCAAAGGTGAAATCACTCTGTTGACCCCGGGATTTGAAACGGTAACCTTCTGATTACAGGCACAGGGACGGTGAGTGGCTCAGCAGGCTCAGTCTCTGTGCCTTTGATCAGAAGAATCACCGGTTCGAGCCCCGGCCTCGGCAGGACAGTCACATGACCACCATAAAGTCAGGTTTTTCTTATTTATCTATTTATCCAACTGAATGTTGCAACTACACCATTTAATCATCTTCATGTACCAAAGACTTTGCTGATCAGATATCTGGGATCAAAACAAACTGCCACCATTGCTTACTATGTACTTTTATAATGTTTCTGCAAGTGTTCTAAACTGCATTATGCAATGTCTATAATTCGATGTCAAATTACAAACTTAACATAAATCTGACATATTTACAAAGTACATTAAAATAAAGATGAGTGTAATGGCAAAACAAATAAGAAATTTATTTGCCATGAATTAAGTTGATGATATTAAAAGAAATGTGTGATCATGCCCCAGCCAGTGAAAGTGTGTTCCCTACCCCTAGACCCCAGAGGGTTAAGGAACAGTGGAATGGACGTTCCTCACCATGCAGATCAGCGCTCGCTCCGGAGCCTCCCCTTCTGTGCTCCCCTCAGCATCCTCTCCTCCTGCCACATGCTCCTCTAGGCCACTGTTCACCCGCTGTACCTCCACATGCAGACGCCCAGCCACCTGCCAGGGGGCGCCAGCACACCTGTTAGCCTGTAATCCAAACGACAGGATCCGCATAGAGCACTGTCGCGGCCTCATCTTCAGCTCCCTACCTCCCCCTTCTGGTTGATAATGGGAACAGCATACTGCAACTTGACATCATGGAACAGGCAGGAAAGGAAGACGTTGGCCACACCGATGAGACAGTGGTTCTCCTGCTCGTCGAAGAAGGGGTCGGCCCTCTTGAAGTAGCCGCGCATCACCTGCGATCAAGGAGTGAGATGCAGGAAGCAAAACTTGGTATGGAGACAACTGGAGAGAGAGGCAGGTTTGGACCTGTAACATACCTGCCATCAGTCTTCAAAGTTTTGCTAAGCTAAATGAGAGAATGCTACTGATCTAGTTGACTTAGCCAACTGAAATAAATAAAATGGGCCTGAATTTGTGAAAAACACAAAGCACAGGCAGAGAGGAGGTCCAGCTCACAGGGTTGTCCTCGTCACAGTCCTTCCACTCCTGGTAGAGCTCCCTCATGTCCACCAGTCGGTTCTCCATCTTCTCCATGGCCCAGATCTGCGTGCCCCTGCCCTTGCGACGCACCTGCACCGCCGGCTCGCTCAGCACGGCGTCCCGCTGCCAGCGAGATGAGGGGGTCAGCCGGGGAGGAGCCCAGAGGCCCCCCCGGGGCTGTGAGGGTTGGGGCATACCTTGCGGTTGGCGTTGAGGTTGGCGGTGGGGATCTGCATGGTGACGCGGTACTCCGTCTTCTTGTCCAGCTCCTCGGCGATGAAACCGGCCTCCTGCACCAGCAGGTTGGCCCTCACAATCTGCTCCCGCAGCTTCCTCAGGCTGCGCGTCAGCACGCTCTCCCTGGGGGAAGAGGGGAACAGGGGCCTCAGAGAACAGACAGGGGTGTCCAGCCCAATGCCCGCAGGCAAAGCGACAGGAAGATGGCTGTTCAAATACCTTTGAAGGATACAAATGTTATAACAGCACTATGAAATATTCCTTTATTTGGCATTTTGTCATAAAAAGCGACCCCCCCCCCCCAAATGGCCCAGCAGAGGGCAGCCTCCTTTGCTGGTGCCGTTAGCAGAGCTCATGGGAGTTTTACTTACACAAAAAAATGTTCTGTCTCTGAAGCAATTATTTTTCATTCTGCCCTCAGAACATTTTTGTAAATAAAACTCGCGTGCGCATTAGCAGAACATCTGACAGTTTTCTTTAGGGTACCTCTCCTCGGCCCACTGCCGTATGCGGGTCTGACCAGTGGGTGGCGACGGCGGTCTGCCCTGACCCTCCATGCTGCGGTACTGCTCCTGTGACTCCTGCTCCGAATGCAGCTGCCTGCGCAGATGCTGCAGCTCCTGCTCGTACATCAGCCGCTGCTGCTCGAGGGCAGATCGCTTCTCCTCTTCATGCTGCCGCTCCAACGTCTGCAGTACGGCCTGCAGGGGGTCTGGGCAGAGTGCAACCGGATGCCCGATTATGCCGATTATAGGCGATTCGCCTGCATCACGGGATTCAGTGGGACGTTTTGACCTAATTTCCACCCACAAACATCACACACCTCAGCGTTACGCTTATAAACACACAGAGTTGACCTATTTTAAGATTAAATAACGCTACTTTCACAGATGTGGCTTTTCTGAGGTGCAGAGCAGAGCGTTTAAGACATAAAGGGAAGGTTGTTATGACTCAGCAGATTCCTGCTTGTTTTTCTTCTGAGTTTTTCCAATAATGAGGCTGGTTTCTGTTGCGCTTAAATCTTCTGTGGTTCATGCAACAGCACTGAGCAGTACTGGGCCAGGTCCATCAGGGACACCGTGGACTGGAAGCAAAGGTGAGCCACATCCGAGGACAGGCACACTCACCGTCATTCCCCAGGGCTTTCATCATCACCTCGGTCTGGGCGAACTCGTAGCTGAAGCTGACCTCGCTGGATCCTTCACCATCCATGTCCAGGTTCTCGGTGCTGGGGCTGCTCGTCATGGTTCCAAGCTCAGCCTCCTCATTCTCACTGCCACCCCGGGACCTCAGCTTGGGCAGGTTGACCCTACAGGACACGGGGGGGGTGGAGGCTGGAATCAGGCCCGCTTTACAGTCCAAGCCAAAGCAGTCGTTCAGTCTCATGACCACAGTGCCAGACAAGTAAACACCTGAAGAAATGGTTGTGGCCCCAGAGGATGCGGTCGCCATGTTGAAGCTGCACTGGGCTGGTAACCGGCGAGCCATTCACAAAGGTGCTGGGGAGGCAGACGATGGCGTTCAAGGGACAGCAGGGATGCCGGATATCACACGGGGCCGTCTGAGCATGTCTGAGATTACCGTGAGCTGCGGATGGGGCTGAGAAGCACGGCTGCCTTAGCGGTGACGTCGATGACGCAGTGTTCTGGCTGGATGCCCATTCCGCACAGCTGGACGTCCTGGGAGTCGGCTGCACCCACCAGCGTGTGCTCCTGCAGCACAGAGCACCCTCATCTATCACAAAGGCCAGGTTCTCAAATGAACTTTAAACACCTTTATCCTTGACAATGAGGCCATAAATTACATGAGTAAACTTGGATCTATAAGCACTTCACCTTCAAGTAGTAGACCAGAAGTTCATTGAGGGCAGGGTCAGCATTGAGGTTGACCAAGAAGCACTTGTCCTCCTTGACGCGGATACCGGATGACTCCAGGGAGATGCCGAGGCTCTCTAGCTGCTTCTGTCTCTCCTGAAGAGCCAGACGTCATCACAGATGAACATACAGACCTTCATGTCAGCAAAGATCAAGCCTGTCCCCCCCCCCCCCCAAGCAGAGCTATGGCGCGATGACACCATGACGCCAGTGACCTGTGCAATCTCCTCGGTCTTCCTCAGCTTCTCCTCCCAGCTGACCGTCATCTCCTGGATGAGCTTCTCAGATTCCTCCAGTCGCTGCTTCAGCTCTGGGGCTTTAATGGACTGAAGAAGCAAAATGGGACAGACCCATTAAAACCAGAAAAAAAATTCTCTCCTCACCAAAGTTGGGGATATTAAAACAAGCGACAGTAAAAATTACAGGTCTTCACCCAACGTTAAAGAATTCTCATCTTTTCTGGTGATACCAGGCAGAGACAGAAGCAGGATGCTTAAACCAGTGCAGCCAATATAAGAAACAAAAAGTGTAAAAACCGGTTCATACTTGACGCAATACATCCTCATACACATCATGGCGTTTCCTCATTTCACATCGTCTGCGCAGCTAAGTGTGGAATTAGCACTACGCATACGCAAGATGCAGCACCGCCAAAAATTTTGAGGGCAGTATTGTCAACTTCTGTCACGCGACTGTTTATATAAGGGACAGGTCACTTCAGGTTGGGGAGCATGCAGTGACGCAGCGCGTCGCCACACCCACCACATGCCGAAACGCCTCAGGATCCCGGCTGGTGACCCCCCCAAGGCCGGTGACCCCCCAGGCTGACACAGGGTCCAGTGCCGGAAAAGACCATCCAAGGTACAGTTGGTATTAATATAACATTTTAATTTTTTTTAAAGAGGGATTGGCCTGAAAATATTCATAGCAGAATATTTTCAGAGGCAGAAGAATATTTTTTCCGTACACTATATACGTACAGCGCATTTGAAATGTAATATGCTAGTTTAATTACATTTCTTCTGCTTCCTAATTCAACCTGAGCTAAGAAAGCAGTGTCATATGTACAAAGTACAATGAAACTCTTACTTGAAAGTCTTCTCCACAGACTACAATTACCAAGACAGTGTTAGAGTTACAATACAAAGAATACTAAGTAGGGCTGGGTGATGTGCGATATTAATACTGACATCACAAGTTATGCACATGCAATTCTCACATTGCAAGAACTGTGATAGCTGGGCTGAGATCAGACTTTTGCATGCCTTCATACTGTACAAACATTATTCCACAGTATAAGGAATTTTTTTCATAATGTTGTCACGGTTCCAATATTTAGAAATTTCAGTGATAAACCCCTTGCTCTTGCCGAATTTTGTCATAGGAAACAAAACACTTTTAATGATTCTCTAGTACAATTCAAGTTTACTCTACTCTAGTAATAATTCAAGTTTACCGCCGCTACTTTTGCATGAGCTCTGCTTACACTCTCCTGGCCAATCATAATCATTGCCATCCTTGCCATTTAAATCAGATGGGTTCGTAAGAAATTATTTTATTTTGACCTATATGGCATTTGAGGCCACAACCTCATAAAAATAAGAACGGAAAGGAAGGTGCTGACCTTGATCTCTCGCAGCGCCCCCTGCTGGACCCAGCTTTTAACCCCTTCGCGGGGCAGTATGAGCAGCAACACCGTTTGCAAAGTGACAATGCGCGCAAGTGTACACAAGGCAAGCGTTGAGTATAAACTGGCCCTTAAACCATAAAGCACGTGAACCTCATTGGATGAAAAGAGCAAATACACTCTGCAACAAGCATTAGAGGGCAGACTTTGCTCTGCGGTTGGGAGAGGCCACACCTCCGCCTGGGAGAGCTGCATCCGCAGCTTCTCGACCTCCTCCCGCAGCTGGCGGATGATCTTGGCGTTGGGGTCCTCGTTGACCACCGCGTGGTTGACTATACTCTTGGCGCGGTCTGCGTAGCGCAGCGTGGACAACGTCTCCTCATAGTTGTCGGCCGCCGGGCTCACCGTAGCAACCATGGCCGTCTTGCTGTTCCCGCCCAGACTGTCCTGTGGGGGGATGGGGAGGTTTGCAGATGGTAAATGCTGCCTTGGTAAGGGTATGTTTGAGCAGCTTAAATATGGCGGCATATCCGTAAATGCCCAAGTGGTGACATCACTTCACTTCAGGCACTGAGGCGGCCAAGTCAGCATCGGAGCAGAACGTGTCATGTGACAGCCCGCAAGCAGGACCGGCGTGGCACCACCCTGAAACTCCACAGCTGAAGGTGACTAAATGTTCTCTGCTTGCTCAGAAGTGTCCTGGCAGCAGTTTCACAATTCAGCTCCCCGGTGAGGACAATTATAGGGCTCCGGAGGTGTTAAGTAACCACCCCCCCGGTCTCACCTTCAACAGCCAGGTGAGCACGGAGTCCCGGTACGGCACAAACTTGCTCTTGCTCTTGCCGGCACCCTGGTCTGCCAGCGCTGAGATCACAAGCCCAAGGGTGGTGAGAGACCTGGGCACAAAGTCTGCAGTCACACACCCAGATAGCCATCACACAGAGTAGCCCCTTACTTCTGCCATATAATATAAAGCCTTCCCTCACCCCCAATGTAGATGTACTAATCTGTATAGTACAAAGAGTAGCACCCCCATTTTATCATGTAAAATGAGTCACCCCCCATACTAATTTGAGCCAGTGAGCTGTAGATACAATAGATGAGTATGCCAGTCTGTCAGCGGTGCACTACCAGTGTCTGCGGTACATGCCAGCCTGTCAGCGGTGTAGTACCAGTGTCTGAGGTAAATGCCAGTAGCTTTATGCAGTATCACTGGTGCAGTTTTACAGTGAGCACTGACTTGTTGATGTTGCTGCCCTCCTTCAGCCTCTCGCCAGCAGCACCAGTCTTGGCAGCCCGCTCACTGCCAGCCAGGTCCACCAGGCTCAGCTTGCTCACCTTCTCCCCACTGGTCTGCAGGGAGGAGCAGAAGAGCATCACAGAGGGGTTACAGATCAGGACCCTGCAGGGGTGCCACGGGGACAAAAAGCTGGCTTTAAGGTTGATGTAGGCAACTTTCTCCCCCCACCATAACCAAAAAAGGAAGCACATAATTATCCTTTCAGAAAAAGCACGCTTTAACAAACAAAAACGTTGTTTCTGTAAACCGACGGGCCGAGAGAGTCTTTGACGGCCTCAGTAATTCCCTAGTGCTGGGCCAGAACAATAGGCATTGTGCGTGGAGTCAGCCAAACAAACAGCGCATTGTTCCAAGCGGCCAGATTTACCACCGAAGCAGCTGTACTGGGTGTGGGGGGCAGCCCTGCTTTCACTGGGGGGGGGTGTGTGTGTCCTCCTTCATTGACGGGCACACTTACAGCGAAGTAAGGGACACCAAGTGAAGGGGGGGTTGTTACAGAGAGGAAAGTGGCAGGAGAGGAAGGGCGTGAGGTAGGGAGGTACACCAAACCCGGTCTAGACAAGGCCTTAAAGCAGAAGTGCCAAAGGGTGGCCAAATCCCATCAGCCATACTAGATCATGTCCACAGAACAAATGCTCTCTGTGGCGGCACAATAACACTTCAGTTACTGCAATGATTCCTGTCCAGTTTTGTCTTAAGGGGGAAGAGTCACAATTAAGCAGGCAGCTTTGCTGTGGGGAATAAGAAGATCCTATAAATAGAGTCACATGATCATGTGTCGTAAGCCAAGTCCTGAATTACTCGCATGAGGGACACCAAATCAGATGTGGCAGGTTCACCGAGCAGGTGGGAATATCCGCTGAGAGGTAACTCGCTTACACGGGGATCACACTTTGCCTGAAGTGAGACTGCTGTAACAGGGCTCATGAACCAGACAGACTGTCATATTAAATAGCAGGAAACATGCAGAGTTTCACACAGACACGGGTAAAGAGAACGACATGGGGAGTATTTTGTCCTATATGGCTCCCCATAGAACGACACCTCCCACGCACCCCTGACTGCAGGTCCTGGAGCGTGTGTGTGAGGATGATGTTGAAGACGGCGTGAGAGCGGCTGCTCTCCTCGTTCATGTTGGTGGCTGCCACAGTGCGGGATTTATTCCCCTCAGACATCAGGGACTCGATATCCTGCCGGGGAGAGAAGGGTCACTCACAGCACTGATGCAAGTCAAAGTCATCATGCAGCTCTGTGCCATATTAAACAGGGCATCAGATTAGACAGACCACAAAACCAGAAGGGTGACTTACTGTCAACTTGACCTGACATTACCCGTTCTGATCACTGTCTACACATAGGGAGGTGCCATCTATGTTTCTCAAGGTAATTTTTTGTTTTAGAACATAAAATACAATGTAAAAGTCCATAATTAACAATGTTTTTAACAAACCCCTAGTGAATAAAAGGAAACCAAAGCATTAGTTTAGATAACACCACCAACAACTTAGCATCCCAAACGAATCATAAAAGTCCCGCAGTGTGTTGAGTAGCACACGAGTTAAATATTTACTCAGCTCACGTGTGTAACTCCACAGCCATGTGCTTTATAGGCTCGACTTCCAACAGAGAACCCCTGAAGTCAGAGCACTAAATCTCCCCAAGGCTGATTTACTGTCACGGCCTCACTTCCATGGTCCCACCATCTCAAACAAAAGAACCCAAACCATTGAACCCGAGCGGTAATTGGAGGCCGTCTTCTCCTGAATAATGGAGTTTTACCACTGTAGGGGCTAAGTGCTATGGATGAGGTTGTTGTACAGTGTTGTATTTAGTGATTTGTACTATAAATCTGCTACAAAAAGCCAGCCCTGAATGCCTCGGGGCATACCTTGTAGCTGGTGACGGCAAGGCGTGACAAGCCATCCACATAGGGGCCCAACACCTTGTGTTCCCTCACTTTGAGGGCCTGCCGACTCCTAAAGGGTTAGAGGAGAAACCTCAGGATGACATGATGTAGAAGAACTGAAGTATAGTTACTTCAGGGCAGTCAATCTACAGCTGAGCAGGTGTTACAGCTTTCATTACATCACAATATGATTTCAGTGCATTTCAAATGATGCAATCAAGACCATTCATTCAATCAGGTGACTCAGGGGAAAGAATTCAGCCAAACAACAGCCGTTCAGCAAGACTTGATGGGAAGGAGAAACTATTTTAGCTACGAAGTCATTTACTGGCCTTCATGCTCAAAATTTATGCATAAGTTGACCTTAAGTTTCAATTTTAAAGAAGTATAGAAACAGCATTACAGCCCAGTGATAAGGACGAGAAGACTCACCCTTTGGGGTCCAGCAGGTCACGGACCTTCTCGTTGTAGATTTCCATGAAGGAAACTTCTACAGTGAAGCTCTCGTCCTGCTTTTGTTCCCTCATTGTTCGCTCAAACAGTGAGCTGCAGAGTCGCGGGATCAGGCCAGGCTGGTCCGCAGAGCCCATCATGGTGTAAGACTTCCCTGAACCTGCCAGCAAAAAACATCTGAAATAGTCTATCCAAGCACAAGAGAGACAGCCAGCCTGATTGCTTGACTACCATGTAAAGGTAAACAGGAGTAATGAACTGTACCATTTCCCATACTAATTACTGTATTTATTACTGTCCGGACACAGCCCAAATGAAGGCCTTTGATAAAATTCCTTCCATCCATCCACCCATTTTCTGTAACCGCTTATCCTATTCAGGGGTGCAGGAGGTTGCAGGCCAAGCCATTTTGGGGCACACTCACACGCCATAAAATTTTATATTCATATCAATTTATGTTGGATAAGATATATAGGTTTCACACAACTAACCTACCTGTCTGTCCATAGGCAAAGATGCAGGCATTGTAGCCCTGGAAGGCGTTGTTCAAGAGACTCTCCCCAAGACACTGGAAGACCGCATCTTGTCCTGCAGGGTGAGCAGAGATGGAAAACGTCAGCTTGATGACAACGAATTAGGGGACAGCAGGCAGACTCCGGGTTAATAACACACCTGTAACCTGAAGGTTACAGGCTTGATTCTAAAGAAGAACAGGGTCATCACACAATTCAACAGAGACTTGAGCAGACCATCGTCTTGCATGGAACCCACATCATTAACCATGGGATTAACACTGAAACGCGACACCTGATTCTTTCAGAGAAAAACAAACCTGCAAATTTGTCATTTTGTGCCTCATCCATTGACCAGAAGCAGTAATCGTAGGCGAAGACCTGCAAGAGAAAGCAGAGAAACTGTATGGCCTGGAATCACAAGTAGAAAACTCCACAGCTGAATTAAAACAGCAAATTGCAGTAGTCAATGAGTGACATTGAAACAGGGGCAAAAAGCATGTAGCCTCTTACCTTTGGTTGACTCCTGATGTTGAGGGATTAAATGACAACATGCAAGGAAAAGGAACGTTTCAGTAAATGCATATCAGACAGCAGAAACAATAATAAATCATCATCATCATCATCAGCAGCAGCAGCAGCATCCTGTTCACTCACTCACTCTCTCTCACACACACACACACACACACACACACACAATAGGCCAGTCTGGCTGGACCCTGTAATGGATGCTAACAATAACCCTGAACATTATGTACCTCAACCACTGAGCTCCAACTATTCACTGAGCACTAACTCACCTGCATGCCTACATCTGAGAACATGAAGATCACAGGGCCACTATTCTAGCCAAGACGCAGGCAAATACATGCAACAAACCACAGACTGGAGCCGAAACGTTAATTTCGGGGAACATCAGTCCTGTCCCAGGTTTCCATTCCACAGTGTCGGGGGGGGGGGGGTCACCTGCGCACAATGATGATATTTCTCAGGGATATAAACTCTGGGGGATAAGGGGCCAGGGACCCAGAACAAAGACCCAATTCACGTTCACCTCGCTGGCTGTACTTTGTTCACCGGAGCGTAGCATTCAGCTCCACAGCTTAACAACGACAGCTCAGAAAGCCAGGAGAGGTGCAGGAGGAGCCTCGGATTACCACTGGCAGATGCTATCTGACGAAACGGCCTCTCTGCCGTATATATATATATATATATATATATATTGAATATATGTGTGTGTGTGTGTGTGTGTGTATGAATTACTTACTGCTCATGACTCTGAGAAGGCTTATAAGGTCATTTCCAAACAGTTTGAAGTCCATCATTCCATCATTCTACAGTGAGAAAGATTAAGTGGAAAACATCCAAGATGCCAGTCTTCCCAGGAGTGGACGTCCCAACAAATTCACCCCAAGGTGAGACCATGCAATGCTGAAAGTAACTGCAAAAAAACCCAAGAGCTACATCTCAGACTCTACAGGCCTCAGTTAGCATGTTTAATGTGAACAAGTATGGCTTGTTTGGAAAGGTTGCCAGGAGAAAAGCCTCTTCTCTCTAAAATGAACATGGCAGCATGGCTTAGGTTTGTAAAGTTGATTCAGAACAAACCACAAGAGTTCAGGAACAATGTACTTTGGACAGACGAAACCAAAGTGGAGATGTTTGGCCATAATGCACAGCACAATGTTTGGCAAAAAGCAAACATAGCATATGAATGCAAACGCCTCATACCAATTCTCAAGCACGGTGGTGGACGGGTGATGATTTGGGCTTGTTTTGCAGCCACAGAACCTGGGCACCTCGCAGTCATTGAGTCAGCCATGGACTCCTCTGTATACCAAAGTATTATAGAGTCAAATGTGAAGCCATCTGTCTGACAGCTAAAGCTTGGTTGAAATCGGGTCATGCAACAGGACAACGATCCCAAGCACACCAGCAAATCTACAACAGAAAGGCTGAAAAAGAAAAGAATCAAGGTGTTGCAATGGCCCAGTCAAAGTCCAGACCTCAACCCGATTTAAATGCTGTGGCGGGACCTTAAGAGAGCTGTGCATAAATGATGCCCGCAAACCTCAATGAACTAAAGCAGCGTTGTAAAGAAGAGTGGGCCAAAATTCCTCCACAATGTCAGAGACTGAAAGTCATACAGAAAATGATTACTACAACTTATTGCTGCTGAAGGTGGTTATACAACAGGGGTGGACAATCTTATCCGCAAAGGGCCGGTGTGTATGCAGGTTTTAGGGATAACTTGTAGGTCAGCTGTTCAAACCCAGGTGTGAGGACTCTTCAGCCAATCAGTCCTCTAATTAGTAATCAAATTAGGGCGTCGCAGCAAAAACACGCACACACAGCGGCCCTTTCTGGGTAAGACTGCCCACCTCTGTATCATGAATCATGGGCTGCACTTAATTTTTCCACACACATTTTCTCATTTTGGCTACATTTTTGTTAAATAAAGACACAGTGGAATCTGTTGGGTTGTTTTACACCTGAGGTTAGACTTAAATAATTTTAGAACCTGGCAAGGACCTCATTTTTTTTTTTTATTATTATTATTATTATTATTATTATGTCCTGACACGTAAAACCATAGAATTGAACGAGGGTGCACTTTGTTTTTCACATGACCGTATGCTTCAATGTCACAAGAAACATGCTTAAAAGTAGTATCTTAATTAGTTGACTTGCTGGACCTGAAAAATCATGGCAAATGGATTAGACCAACCCCCCCCTCCTCCCACCACTTGCAGTTAGACCTGTGGGTTGGGATGAAGCTGTATGAATGAAACCAGCTTGGGGCAGAATCCTCAAATGGACAGTGTCACCCAGAGCAGGTTTTCAACCCTGGTCACTCAACCACATGCAGCCGCTCAGTCACCACGCACAGCAGAGGAGTGGCTATTCCGCCCCGGGGCGCGGCGAGTCACTCCGGGGCCTGGGGGTGCCTCTGTGCTCATGCAGGGGTGGTTAATGTTGTCAGGAAGCATTTTAGAGTGGGTTCACTCAAAGGGTTCTTCCAGGGCAAGCTCCAGATCTCTCTCGTCTTTCAGGTGACAAAACAATTGAAGAAATGTGGTGAAAAGAAGCAGATTCATTCAAGGTCTGCCCTGAAACGTCCGGTCAAGCTGCTTTCCTGCTGCTCGCTCCTCATCTCCTTGTCCGATTCCGGTGAAAACAAAAGCACGGGTAAATTTAGCTTTCTTCCGAGGTAGACACCTTCCTGGTTAAGAGCTCTGCCCTCATTGGTGGATGGTGCCGGAAAACAGTGAAGACTGCCATGCTTTCAAGTCTGCAGTACGTTCCACACCATCAAATCTTGTTTATACTTCAATAAGCTGCAGTCTAAACCTTAGTCTCCTCCCTACAGCCACAAGTTACAGCCCAGCTCATTCCAATCCAGACTTGTCAGTAAAAGACATGAAAGTGCTCATAGATGAAGAACACGCTCATAACCTGAAGGTTGTAGGCTTGAGACTCAAAGACCTGGTCATCATGGAAGTCAGCAAAGTATTTCGGTGAGACAAGGGTTTGAGCAGACAACCTCCTGGCTATGCGCCCATATACGCAACCATGGAACTACCCATTACTGTCAAACAACACCAAAATGTGACAGCGTCTTTCCAAGAAGGACAAAGAAGCAAGACGGCGCTGCTGCAGCCTTGCCCGACTCCTGCAGGATGCTCGGGCACGACCCCCCTAAAAGATAAAAGGCACCGGTACTAATCAGCCGTCGAGCTCAGTCTCAAAGCTCGTGTGAGAAGCATTAGTGCAGCTTGACAAAAACAGAAAAACAGGCCCCACCCATGGGGAACGTAGCTCAGCTGGCTACGCTTAAGGCAGGGCGCTCAGCGATTTGGGGCTGCTCATTGTCAATAAAGACTGATTTACACCTCCCCATTTTTAATTCAGGCATCTTGGGTTTGCCAAGACCAGAGCGAAACATGCCTTACAATGCAAACCAGACAGGAATCTAATCTGGCATTCAACACACAGTAACACCCAGCTCAATTTCCACCTAATTATAATAAGACCCAAGAATTATAATTGACGTTCTTAGAAATCGTTAAGTGACAATCCAGGAATAGAAAATCACTAAATGTGGCGATGTAACCGCAAAGGGCAAACACATGACATGGAATTTGTTTAAACAAGCTTAAACAACTTTTCCCAATTCTGGTGCACCATGTTTTTATGTACTGGAGTACAGTTTTTTTTTAAAGTCACAGTATCTCAACGATATTCTAAACCCTGTTATAATCGTCAACCTTCTGAATTATCTTTAGACTGTGTCCCGTTTTACCAGGCAGTGTCCATTTCCCAGAATCCACAGGGAACAGAACTAATTTGGCAATAATCATGGGGCAGGGACTGGCACATACCAAGAAGCCAACCAACAGGGGTATGGTGTGAAAACACACACGTTAGCACTGCATGTCATTTTAGCTGCAAAACATCCCTGCTGCCAAGAGGAAGAGTCATCAAAGAGGGACTTCATGAAAGTACAGTTTATGGCAGGGTTTCCCAACCCGGTGCTCAGGGACCCCCAAACGGTGCACCTTTTTGCTCCCTCCCAGCTCCGTGCCAGACAGCACATATTTTTGCTCCCTGGGCAAAAATATGGACTGCCTGAGGGTCCCCGAACACCAGTTTCAGAAACACTGGTTTAGGGTACCAAGCTATAAGCAGTAATGAACTGGTTTGTATCACAGTGAACTTCACACTGCAGGAATGTCTGTTTGACTTCATGCTTTTTGAAAAACTCAGATAACCTTCTGCCTGTTCATTTTTAAAAATCTAAATTGTCAAAGCCTGCTCACTTCACAAATAAACACATAGTGAGTAACCAATATCTCTTGCCTTGCCTAAAAGAAAATATTTGTTTTAAATAGACAGATTTAATTCAGGCTTCTATTAATAAAGTTTTATTGGTTTGCATTAAATTATTTGGTTATTTTTGCACGATTGTTCATTACTGCTTTCTTAACGATGTTCCCAAAATAACCCCGGCACGGGCCCAGTTGCCCCCCCCCCCCAGTCCCGATTATGATTTCCAGTATTGCAAGCTAATGTATAAGCCCTGCAACCTTATAGAAAACGTATTATTGTTTAATAGGGCACAAGCACCTCCTTTGTCTACCCTAAAACCAGAAAATGTGATTTAAAATGACGATGTGACCCGGAAACAGCTGGCAGGGCAGGGGGGATGATGACAGGAACAGCGTGTTTGAGCCACGCTGACTATGGCCGCACGTCCCTGATGAGTCACGGCAAGGCGGAGGCTATTAATACTTGCATACAGTAAGGGGATGCCCGCCCAAATCACACCGCGGCAGCGAGACGGCAAGACCAGGAATGAGAGAAGCAGCACTCAGAAAAATGCAGGAGCACCTCCACTGAATCGCAGGAGGCCACAAACCCAAACAACAGGATGAGAGACTCCATGTTTCCTCCTGTGCGGGAAAATATTTACGCAGCGGGATGGTTTCTGAGGCACTTCCAGCGAGAGGGGGGAGCTGCGGGCTCCCTCCTGAGCGCGCCGTACAGACAGCAGTGTCTCAGCGAAGGCACTCCAGCGTCTGGTTAGATTTCGTGAAAGTTGTGTGTGATCTGTGGCCAGTTACAAAGCGCAGCCTGAAATGGAGGTTGGAATCACAGGAGGTTCCGGATATCTGCTAGCCGAAGAAATTCACAGTAAACAAAGCAGGGGCCAGCTGTAACCCAGCGGTACCAAGAAGATCTGCACCTTCAGGATAGGATTAGGATTCTCTACATGGAGAAGAATTTGCTAAAGACCTAAGAACATCCGGTGACAAACTTCAGGAAAAGGGCCGGAGGGAAGCACGGAGCAGCGATGACGAGGTGCTGTCACCTCTGTCCCTTAGGATAAAAGGAGGGGGAAAGATATGCAGAATAAGCTCATGTCGCTAGGCAGTGAATCAGAGGGAATGGGTTTACACAGGAAGGGGCCAAACCCAGAGCGAGAGCAGGGTGAGTGGGCCACGCCCTTAGTGGACGCGCAACATGGGCGTCTCCAGCTGTTTCTGTAGGTGCCGGTTCCGTATCCTGCCCTCCGACAAGCAGCCGCACGCTCTGGCAGCGTTCCATGGATCGGCTGGGACAGGCGGCTTCCTTTGCCCTGACGCTGAGATAACGCCCTGCTCAAGCCGTAGATTAGCCCTTAGATTGACGTTTTTATTTTATTTTTTCCCCCAATACTTTATTCAACAGGCACTTTTATCTAAAGAGACATATAGTTGAGGAAGCAGGGTTACACAGCCCCTGGAGCAATTTGGGGTGCAGGACCTCACTCAAGGGCCCAAGGGTGAAATCACTCTACCGAACCTAGGATTTGACCCAGTAACCTTCTGACTGGAAGCACAGGGTCCTAACCCACTGCGCCACACACTGCACTCTGGGTCCAATCTCTGTGACATACCAGGTCATTTGTGCAGCTACATGAAATTAAGCCCCCATGTAATAACCTCCCGATCCGATTGTGGAAGGATGAGTCCCATAGCTATCCTGTGACCACCGTAAAATGGGCGCTGAACCTCTGTGGAAAGGCTGCACCCAAACATCCTACCGACGCCACTTTAAGTCTTTTCTTTCCGGCACTCATGACCTTGCTGAGTAATAAAAATGTCTGCTGTGAGGAGCAGCAGGCGATGGCAGGCTGTCACCCCCAAGAGTCCAAAAGCCCGATTCACTTGCTTCTTTGTGCACCTGTCAGGGAGACTTACGCCAGCAGCGCCCCCCCCACCACCCATAAAGTTTACGGCCGACAGATGCCGGCGCGAACGTGGTCGCCCATCTCCCACAGAATGGACCTTGCGTTGCCATGGCTGACCTGGGCCCGACCTCCTCCCTTTGCTATAGCAACGGAAGCGGGGAGAAAGGCAGTGATGTCACATGGCCGGTAAGCAGCTACGCCTGATGGGCAGCCAGACTGGGAACCACAGCAGGCTGGTGGTGAGGGGACAAGTGTCTGAAGCTGCCCCTCTACAGAGCTCCTACCCCCTCAACACCCAGACCCACAAGTGCAGGACACAGGGATTAAACATCATAATCCCCCCCTGTCCTTTTCACGCTAACCTCTGGGTACGGCAGGTGTGCCATTTGAATTTCCTTCTGTTATGCGCGCGCATGCACGCACGCACACACACATACACAGACATACACACACACACACACACACACACACACACACACACACCCTACCTGATGTCCCCTTTCCCCAGACTCGAGTTGGCAGGGAGAAGCACCGCCTGGTTTCCCTCCATTTCCACCACACATTTTGTATTCAGATCCTTTTCTACAAAGAAAAGAAAATAAAGTTTAAGCAAAGAGTTTCACATCACTTCAACAAAAACACAGATACCGTATGCGGCGGGGAACTGTTGCATACTGGGTCTAATGGGAATGATGGTGATAAAAGACAACTGCAGACCTGCCCCAATATTCCATTAAGCTTAATTAATCTGTGCATAAATATTTGGACTAATTGCCCTCATAGACAATAAACCTCAGGAGAACTTTTCCCACCTATGACGGTGACACATGCATTGCCACAGGTCACACACCCTTAAAGACTTTATAAAGGAAACCGGCAACTTGTAACTGTAGGATTTAGAAAATCATCACAGGCTCCAGAAGTGACGTGGCGATGCAGCCCGGCGTGATTCACCGTCTCCTGGAGCTGCCAGGACTGTCCGTCACCCGCTAGCCACGGAGCAGCGCCTGTCCCACACGCCAAGCCGCCAACAGACTCTGCTGCCAGCGGGCCACCGTGGGACTTTCCACAATGGTGCCACACTTTCCTGTGACTCACCGATTCCCCACCCGGATCCCATAAACCTTGGGATTCGTTCCTACGACAGCGATCTGAAACTCTCCGACAAGCCGTGCAGCGGCAAAGAAACAGCGCGTGTTTTGATTTTTAGAACATAGTGAGAGGAAAATGGGAAGCAGAGTGTTTGGGACAAAACACAAAAACAACTTTTTCTTCAAGCTAAAACTGCTTGATTCCATTACGATGGTAAACATGCTGGTGACCATGCTGTACACATCACGTAGCGCAGCAGGCTAATTCCTCTGTCCTTTTCCCAGCTGTTAATGGAAAGATACGGAAAATAGCCACCAGCCAGTTTATCACTTAACGTGCCGCATACTTGACATCCCAACCCAATTGTGCAACTTACATGCAGAGGATGTCCACAGCCGAACTGAAAAACACCCAATAACTGAATAAAATGTGAAGGACACATGACTTTATTACTTAAACCATAAGCACTTCACTGTGTGCCATGTATATGCTAAATGCACTTTACTACTCTGAGAAACGATTCAACTGGACCGTCGCAAACCAAACCTACTGCTACTGTTAATATACCCACATAAGCAGGCATCGCTGAAGGCCAGATGAAAGACATGCGGAGTATTCCCCTCCTCACAGCGGCAGACCGTGTGATTAAACACAGACTTTGGACCCAAAATCTCCTCCACAGTAACTCTTACTGACTGATGCAGGGTTGGGGAGGGGGGGGGCGGAGTGGGCAGCTGACAGCTATGGACTTACAGACTTCTGGAATTTGAATAACGCGTTCCAGAACAAACACAAAGGCATCATTGTGAGAATTTCAGCTGTAACATTGCAAGACACGGCAAACACAATGCAGAACAGCATTTCATTTTAGAAGAAAAACTCAAATAATCGAATTCCTGTTCACGTAGCTTTGACGTGTTCATTTTCCGTGAATGATTCTCATTTACCATCCGAATGAAACACTCATTGTCATCGTGCCGCCTTAGCTGCGAGTCAAAAGCCTGGTTCAATTTTGAAATAAGAAAAGTACCATAAAGGTCGACTCAATAAAATGTGAGTGTTGTCCTGCCCTGCTTGCAGTGTCCCTAATTAAACATACCACGTTAGTCAGGGCCAAATACCTTTTCAGGGGCCCAAGGCAAGGGAGAGCCCTATCAGTAGATTCTGCATGGGCCCTTTTGTACTGATCAGGCCCTAGGCAGCTGTACCTGTATTCCTATCCAGAGAAAGGCAGACTTCCTTGCAGAGCTACATTACGCAACAGTTCTGAATTTTTGTAGCCTACTGGTTGCCTTCAAAACACAAAGTCTGCTGAAAGGAGAAGATATTCACTGGTTCCTTCCAAAAAGGCTGCATCGCGGACCAGAATTCAGCTTCGGAGTTATTTTTTTTTTTTTTTTTTTTTTTTTTTTTCCAGCTTCGGAGTTAGTCACTGACAGGTTGTCTGTAACGTCATTTAAACACAAACCCCTTCTGTCAGGCTGCGTGTCCGCGTGCCGTAACGGAGGGCAGAACTAGCGCCTGCAGCCGTTACTTAAGCTCGCAAATATGCGCCCAACTTCCTCGTCTACAAGTAGAGGCGATGCGCATTTCTCGTTATTAATAATCTGTTTTACTCCATATCGTATTACACAGCATGATCTACACGTGGGCGAGTGTAATCCAAATCTGATCACCTATGAGAATGTAAGATTTATTCTTCTACACGAAACGTCGTTCATATAGAAAATACGACGTTTCGGTTGGATCACACGAATACGCAAAAACAAATGAGTTCTTCTGAATTCATTAAAATTGTGGTGAACATTCATGCATTCTTTTCACAAAATCCTCTTACTGCTTTATGTTAATCTGGGGTTGACGACAGAAATGCAACAGGGGCGTTTCCAAATCAAAATAAACAAAAAGAGAGTATGTTAGGCACATTGTGCGTAAAGTGTTTCTTAAAGCCCCAAATGCGGACGCATGTCACTATTTTATTTATTTAGTGTTAAAACAAGCAACAAGATCACTGGAACTGTGTCTTTGGGTCCCATATCTTGCCGATCACCCCCTACTTACCTCTCCTGTTCATCGGCCGGACACGGACGGCCACCCGCACGTTGGACTCGGTCGGCTCGCCTTCACCCATGTTGATCCTCCGACGATCCACTGACGGTCTTCTCTTACCGGATCGGTATTTATTTAGAGAAGAATATTCGCCATAAGACTCCCGTTTAAGTCTCTTCTCAAAATCACTCTATCCACAAGTAGCTTACCCGAATTGCCAATAACGAGCGCAGAGTTATTTAGGACATTTTCGCTGTTATTGAAACATTGTAACAGCGAGCAAAAAATGTTAAACGCCACCAGTCTGAAGACTTTCAACAGGTCATCGTAGCAAAAAGTTACCCGCCGCCGGCCGCTTCCAGACTGCGGTCGCGTCTGAAGTGCGTCGCCTTCTCGGTGTCTCTCTCCTCCGCTGGAGTCAGAAAGTCAGCGGGTGAAACCTTGCAAAAAAAAGAAAAAAACATACTTGTTTTCCGCGCTGGATTGTCAATCGTTTACACCGCGACTCAGCAGACAAAACGGGACTTTAAAGCGGACACTTAACCAGGATCATCTTATAATCTCAGCCCTAGAGGCTTCCCATATATAAAAAAACTTGCTTTCCCATTATTAATTAATGATTCCACTGTATTATGACTAACAAATGAAACGAAATTAAAATAGTCAGCTCACAAGGAGAAATACCTGCACAGAAAGCTGTGTATCCTTCTGCCAAGTTTTTCTTTTAATTGGAGATCATATTCACATCCAGTTTTCTTAGAACAACGACTCAATGGTCCTTTTTGGCGTGAAGTCTTCTTTAGGATGAGTAATTATACACATTAAAAAATCCGCCTTGTAGTCACTTTATGCTCTTTATCTGGATGACACATATCCACCTGTTCCATTTCCTGAATCCGCCCGTAACACAACTGCGTACTGGTGCCATTTTAACCTGGAGCGCAGACACTCCAGAACTTGCCAGATATTCAACTCCCTTTCCTTTCTTGCTGAAGGGGTTCAATAGCGACGCATGCGCAAACAAAACTAATTTTCTCGTCTACAAGAAATGCTTAAAATGTCCTTCATAGTTTTTCATTAGAAATTATTTATCTTACGGTTAAGTGTAGCAAGACATTTGGCTCTGAACACATTTTTGCGACATTGTCGACTCAAGACAACCCTACCTATTTAATTTTGTATTGAAACACAGTAAAACGTATTGGGTATATTTGTTGATTTAATTCGTTATTCATACTTTTTTCAGATGGTAGCTTTCCCTTCGAAGTGTTGTTTGCAGACATTCTCCGGTTGTTGTCACTGTCAGTTTTATTTTTAAATTCGCACACTGTGCATTCTGCTCATTTGCTCTGAGGAGACTTGCTTTTTATTGCAAGTTGTTTACATAGGGTGATCATATTTTAATTTGTAAAAAAAACTGGACACTGGGAACAGGACGCAAAGAGAGGCACCAAAGCTGCGCAAATATGTACACAGAAAGAATCCTGCCTGTAGAAAGCTAACACAAAAAACAAAATGAAATCCCGGACATTTCAGGCATTTTTGGTGTCTCAAAAAAGAGGAAAAGTCTAGGAAAAGGAGGACATATGTTCACCCTATTACATTACAGTAAATTCCGGAGTCAAAACACGCAATGCGAGCAATCTAAGTATTTATTTACTATTTGTAAACTCGAATTCAAAAAGTAGCTATTTTGAAATAGAATAACTTTAAAAAGTATTTATAAACGCAACGCTACTAGTTTGTTACATCACAGATTTACAGGCACAATTTGCGACACATAGACCTAATTATTCATGAAAAGGTCATCTTTAATGAGAGGTTTCAGTAAAAAGGAAAAATACTGCTTACAATCGAATCAAAGCAATTTGGATAGTTCTTACTGATTTCATAACTTTGTAACTAGATTATACCTTCAAA